CGCTCTAGCTGCTCTGCTCCGGGCTTCCTGGAATCAGCCGCTGATCAGTTTCAGCAGTGGCTGACTTGGGGACACCTGGGGTAGAGCAGCTCTGCCTCGGGCTTCCTGTAGTCAGCTGCTGATCAGTTTCAGCAGCGGCTGAATCTGGACTCCAGTTCTGACTTACATACAGATTCAACTTAAGATAGGGTAGGTTTGTTCTTGTACGTAACCCGGGGACTGCCTGTAGTCATGACTACTTTTGAAGTAGTCCAGTTTACTATGAGACACGTATCTCCTTAATAAATGAGAGCAGAAATTATTCTAGCAACTCATTCAAGCTCACTCATATTTGTTAAGAATGCTGCTGCAAAAATCATTCTTCCAGCCCATTGCTTTTCTTTATCTTTCCTCTTTATATCCTCAAATGTAAGTAGCTGTCTTTACTTTCAAGACCCTTGGTGGCCTATCACTTGCTATCAAGATGTTGACTCTTGCTTCTAACCCATGCCAGACAAGATTGCCCACCTGTTTAAATTTTCAAAGTTGCACTTTTGTGCTTTCTTCCATGCTGACCCTCATGGTTAGGAGGAGTGCCTCGTAAACCATCTGCAACTCGGTTATCCTAAAAGTTCCTCCTTTAATTTTTTTTCAAGAAAAGAAGATTTAACTGCAGTTAGGCCACTGGTATCACTTCCTGTCTGACAAGCATTATTGTTTTACTGATTCTTTGTGCTCTCCCTCTAGGTGTTGATTCTGTGGGTGCTCCAGGGTTAGTGTCCTTATATGTGGAGAAGTGGAGGAAAGGTTGGTGCTGCGCAACTACAAGTTGCCAGCTCTCTCCCTCCCAGCACCTCCCCCTCCCCCCCCCACTTGCTTTGTATCTGCTGTTCTGCAGCATGCAGGAGGCCCTCATGAGCAGGAGGAGGAATAAGGGTGGAGTTGCCTTAGAGGAGGTACTGGGGATGGGAAAAGGTTGGTCAGGCATGGGGGCTTGGAGGAAGAGGCTGAGTGGGAGTCAACACTCCCTCTCCTCCCTGCACATTAGAAAGTGAGTATTTCTAGCTTCCTGATTTGTCTGTATCCATCTGTGGTCTCTTGTCTTATACTTAGTCCCTTCCCTAAAGATCTTGTGACAGTGGTGGTCAACCTCTGGCCCGTGGGGTCCTTAGGACATTTTGTTTACTGTTGCTCAGGGTTGCTAGATTGTGCTGACTTCCATCCACATAGTTTTTTTCCTACCGGTATTGCCAAAGTGAAACACATTCCTTGAAAGTAGGAATAAGAAATCCTCCGGAAAAGGGCTTATTTTCTGGAGAATCACGTCCAGACTGGCGCTTTTCTCTGGCTTTTCCGGCTTGGGGATAAAAGCGGCAGCCATGTAAATGCAAATACCGCGGGGGATATTTAAATCCCCTGCGGATTTGCAATTCCAAAGTGTCTAATCTGCATCCCTCTTCCGGAAAAGGGGTGCAGTGTAGACACAGCCATGTAAAGCAAGGGCAAATTGATTGGATGCAATCAGCATGCACCTCATTTCATGTTGCATGCAGAGAGAACACACTGCTCTCACATTTAAAGGGTTGCTATGGTTCAGTCTGCCCACCCCGCACATTCTAGGTACACAAACACAGTTAGCAGAGCTACCCTAACCTGAGAGACCATCTTGGTTACAACAATCTTGCGGCCCACTCACTAGCTTAGGTTGACCATCGCTGTCTTACACTATACCTTACTCCAGCCTGAATTCTTCTTGTAAGGCTTTTGCTGAACTTAGCAAAAACTGAAGCTTACAAAAGAATTAGGAAGGAAGACCAGTTATTGTTACAATGTCAAAATTCCATAGTCGAGAGCTCATACATGCACTTACTACAGTTCTTGAGGATCTTTTTTTGAATAGCAGATAATTGGTTAAACTGTGTCTGTCTTTTATTTTAGTGCAGAAGAATTGCTAAGGCTTAATTCTTTTGTTGCTATAGAATTTTAGTACAGTAAACTTCCGATAATCTGGCAACTTTAGGACCCAGGGGGTGCCGGATTATCTCATTTGCCAGACTATCGGAAGGGGGGGGCTATGAGGGGTCTGGAGTGGGGTGGGAGGGATGCCACCCCAGACCCTTCATAACCCCCCCCTTCTGATAGTCCGGCTCTGCCCCAGGCGTCCCTGATTCAGCCACTGCTGGTCAGTTTCAGCAGTGGCTGAATTGGGACGCCTGCAGCAGAGCAGCTCCAGTGCTTCCGAGTTGGTCCCGTAGCGCCACCCCTCGGCTCTGCAAGACCAACCCGGCAGCACCCCCGCTGCCCTGCCCCCGGCTTCCCCGAAC